CTAAGGCGGTCACTGGACTTGTGAAATATGTCCCTTATTCGAGTCCCGTGTTACAAATGGCGCTGAAACACATTATGGTACATGATTCCTGTACCAATGGTAAAATGTTTACTTTGTCTTAAATATTGGATATCAGAAGCCAATTTTTTCCCCCAATAAGATCCCAACATAAATGTTGATTTAAATTGACAAATAATTTGTGTTTTCAATGTCGAAGACTCTGGATGATATTGAGTTAGAGACTTAGCTACTTTAAGGGTGTGGGGGGTTGGATGGCCGAATGTATCATAAGGCCTGTCATTGAGTCAACTGGCGTGGTTTCGAATCCCCGGTTGTACGTGACAAGGATTAGGGTCGCCTGTCCAACCTCGTGGGTTTTCTCCGGGTCCTCTGGTTTCCTCCCACTGCTAAAGACCCCTACGCGCAAGCGAATTATTGAAATAAAACTGAACCATGTGTTAGTCCCGAAATGACCTAGTTTGTGTCGAGTGGACGTTAAACCCCATTTCTCTCTCTCTCTCTCACTTTAAGGGTGCCATAACCAGAGCATGTGTTCAAATGCAGATTTAATTTTTCATCAAAAATTTACAATCATTTATTGTTTACAAAATGGATCGACAAACAATTGCATATTTGTGGAACACAGACTTTTTCAAAGCAAAAATGGTCCAACCAACACAGTCGAACTTAAAATTACAGACAAGATAAATGTTTTGGTGAATCTCATGTCAGATCACAAGGTCGTTGATATATGGGGAATAAATAAATAGTCATGTTCTTATAAATGAACTGCCTTCAGAAATATCGTCAGATGGATGGCATATTCACCCATGATTGAATGCGGTGTTATGAAAAAAAGCACCGTTCTCCATCATTTCTTCTAAACCCACGATTCGCACGCGCTGTTAAACGCCATTGTTCTACAAACCACTGGAAAACCTCAATATTTGATGAATGGAACCACATTATTTGAGAATTCCCCGGAGAAAAATTGCTAGTTCCTTTCACTCACACGACCCATGTCGAAATGTTGATTATTGATATATGCTACTTTCGGTTTATATACCGTCCTTGAATCGGCAGGAATTATTGAAGTTTGGTTGAAATCAAAAGAATTCTTTTCTCATAAAAGTCGCCGAATCAATTTCAGAAAATAAAAACCAATCGCGTTTACTTTCCCATTAATAGAATTCGAGCCGTTGATCCGTAGACACCTCTTACAGAAAAGTAGAAGCAAAGGGCTAACGGTGAATGTAATGTGGGTCATTGCGAGTCAAAATCCTATGACCGTTGATTCTTTATAGAACCAAATACTAAACCATTATCGCCAGTCTATCTAAACGAAATAAAAAAGCTGTTTATTGCCGCGACATATACGCTTCAAAAACCACGAAACAAATAAATAGCAATTCAATATATCATCTAGTAACGAAATGATATAGATATCCTATTCGATTTATCTCCGCTGTGTAATAAACAGTATTTCAAAAAGCTATGATGATTCGTTTGGCACAATCAATAGCGACCTCCATACAATCAACCGACACGGGATTATATTCTCGCTCCACGATATGGCTAACATGTCGTTTGTTTCTTTACCATCCTTCTTGATATACATTCCTGCAAGCAGTTTACGTGTATATTTTGATAAGCATTTATAAACTAACCAGCCTTCTATATATGCCATTTAGTACAGTTTTATCATCCGTATAGATTTCAATGTCGGTCTGTTTTCAATCAATTTGGCGCGAATGATCGTAAAAGGAGATTGTGGAACTAAACAAGAACGTTTCGGAAAAAAATGTTTTTAACTTGTGACATATTCAGTTTAGCATCTGGTGTCATTTTATTCTGTAAATGTCCATGTTTGGTCTGATTTTTATTCTTAAATTAACATTTGATATAGACAAGTAAAAATCGTGACACAGAAATAACAGTGGTTTCATAAAAGTATATATAAAGGGTTTCAAGTCATTTTTTTATGATTTTTTTTTCACTGAAATTCTTTGAAAGTTGAAAAGAAGAATAGAATTCTGACCCTAGAGAATATTATTTAATTCTGTTTTATTTGATTACGATGAAACAGCGTATAAATTGTACCAGTAATACGTTTTATTATTGTTTGAAAAACACATTCGTCTGTAAACATACGAAAAACTTTAATTTAAATAACAATAACCAGGTATTTTTGTTAAATGCTCTACATTATTCAGATATTTCTTTGTTAAATTCTAATACACATAAATAACTGTATTTTCCAATACCTTTAAATATAAAAAGCTCAAAATAAATGAATGTAATTTAACGAGATTGATATAGATTTTAAATTAGGTTTGAATAATTTTATGCACTGGTTACTTCAATACATTATAAAATAACTATTTAAAACGGAGACGAAGCCTGGACGGCTAAGCACCAATTAGGGGTCATTACGATATTATTGAGGTACAGATGTTTTCTTTACGAATGGTCCGTAAATGCGATAATTCAAACGGAACGGGCGATATCGTTATTATACTAAATATCATGGGAAAATTGAGAACAGTTCATTATAATTCCTTATGTCTAACAATTATGTTGATCCGAAAATGGACTTTGATTATTGCCGATAACCCAAGATCCGGTCCCATTTTCAATAAATGTATTAAAGCATGGTCTTAATCCGATTTATGTCCCTTTTGGTTTGTTTCCTAGCTCTGGACATTCTTTGTCATTGATTTTCCGGCTTTGTTCTGGAGTGAAAGAAAAACACTCTAATTTACTTCTCAAAGACGTACGGTCAACGGGCGCACGAGTTCTGGAATGACATGTAATACATTTCATGAGACGACAGGTAGTTATTATAAGCCCAAGGGGGCGGGGTAGTCTTCTTATCTCTCAATGACTCCACATGGACATCTCCATCAGACCCACCACCTGATGTCAAAGTTGAACTCTGATTATTTGATCACACAGTACAGTGTATAACATTAAAGCCCAAATACACTCATAAATAATTAACCTGCCCTTATATAACGGTCCATCGTCATCTGTCACACCCATGAACCCGTTTCAACATGCATGTATTCTTCGGGGATATATCTCACATAACCTATTTAATATAATCATTCAAATAAGAAAAACTTGCTTTACAAGTGTTGACAGAAGATGAAGACGATTATACTTATCAGGAGTGGGTTCAAAGATGACGGATCTCGACAATCTTCACATATTCTATTTCTTGTTAATAAGGTTAAAGTTTATAAGATATACATATATTATATGTATTTCATATATATTGTATAATATACATGATAATTATTTAGCTTATCGTTTATTGACCAAGATTCAATCAAGCCTCTTTTCACATTGAACTGCTCCCATAAATAAGGTTGTCGGGTGCCTTTTTTTAGTCCGCAAAACGAATCACACCCCTAGTTCATTCAAAGCGTGTTTCATAATTTATTGGCAAATGACAATTGTGACGAATATAGTACATCATTCAATGTAATCTATAGTAAATTTTCATCCCAGACGACCTTTGTAATGACAAATGCTACACATTATTAATTCAACAACTTTTCGGATACAACCATTTTTGGCCAATCAAAAACTAAACAAATCAACATATTTAATGGACAAGTATTTAGAAAGAATGAAAGTAATTGAAAATCTAAAAGAGCCGCTTGGTCGTTACATATTCAATCTATCTTTATGTCATGTTGACAATAGATTAATCATATTGGGGGCTTTAGGTAAAGTTGGCATGTCGGAACTACAATCTCTACTAGCATGCAATGACATCCTAGATAAAGTTGGAGTCATTCTTAATCCTGGGACACTAGAATAATTTTGCTTACTCTGGGCGTTTGCACATAACTCGGTCATTACCAAATAGATCTCTTCATAGATGAAAATCGACTCCGTCACGTTCATATGTTTACGTGAAACTGGACACAATGTTTTTTACATAGACGTAAATAAACCACTCATTTCGAACACGCCTATTTCCTTTCAGCATCAAGCCTTTGTTATATCATTTTTAAACTTTGGGTTGATATAGCAAAATTACAAATCATAAATCATTATCAATTGAGCATTTTCGTAAATTTATATCTTCAGAAACCATAATGTAAACAAAACGTGGGCGTATGTTTCCATCACTTTCAACCTAGCCTATGTCAACAATTTGTTCTAATTTATAAATTGATGAAAGCGGATTTTCAAGACTGCTGTGTAACTGTTGTGACTTGATGTGCTAAGTTTTTGGTAAGTGATCAGTGATTTTAAAACTAATCCAGTAGTTGTTTCAATAAGATAAAATGGATATCTATGACAATAACCCGTGGTCACACGTCGATTACTACAACCCACGCCGATATTCTATTAACCTTACGTTGATCGCACTGTTGCAACTCCATACCCATTTCTGTCATTTTATTTCTTTTTTGTTCAGCGTCAAGGCGACTTTATTAAAATTTTAATTAACGAAAGCTCATATTGCATCGAATAGCAATTGCTCTTCAAACGTTGCACATGGAACCATTATTATTACGTTTCGAATCGTCATACGATCCAGTTAATTATACAAGAATTGTGAATTATATATGATCTTTAGAAGTGTACAAGGTTGTTTATAAGTGTCTACAATGCTGCCGAAGAACAGGTTGTCAGCATCAATAACATCCCGTCCAAATGAGACCTCAAATACATACGCACAAAGACAGAAAATAGCTCCGTCTACCGCGAATGCGTAAGATAATATTTGATATAGTTTGAAGGGAATTTTTGTCAAGTATTATTTCCCGCATGATCTAGTACAGTTTACAACAACTCATCGCTATAGACATGTACTGTAGTATTTAGTTACCCGTCAGTCGACACTTGCTCTAGCAGACGCCCCCAAACACAAACGTAGTAACACGGCTTTCTGAGCGATAAGCGCCCAAAAAGATGAAGACGGTGATGCTAGGAAGATTTGTCAAGTGATATCGTCTTGAGATTAAAAGTAAAAGACTTACCTCTTCTTCGGGTGTTGTGTTAACTGAATCCATACTTTGACTAAGAGCAATATTAGAATCAGTATTAAGTCCAGTGCTATTATGTGAAGCCATTTCTGTCGATCTCATTTCTAGAATGGAACCAATTGTTTATGTTTTGGTGGTATAGCGTAAAAATGCTATACCCTGTTCACCAAATCGACTGACTTTTGACTAGTAGTAATAATGAACACAGTCGTTGGGTGTGGTAACTATGAACGTGAGATATCCACGCCTTCGAACTCCCCGTTCAATGATATGTGTTAAAATAGCCGGGCTAAGTCGGCACGCGTTGACTACTTGAATCAAAGAAGTCAGAATTCCCTTACATTCACTGATGTGCGCTTCAGTATAAGTGCGCTTGGTGCAAAGTGCAGTGGAAAGACTGTGAATTAAAAGCCCAACACTCGGTGTGGCTATTTCTCTTTCCCCTGCATTCAGTCACACACGTGTCCTGTACGAGAGAACGTTTGAAATGAATCGAATCCTTTTCCACTATACACCTCCGTTTATTTTGTTATTCAAATGCACGCACATTCACTTCATGACGTCACGATATCCCATACTTCCCCGCGAACTATGACCCTTTGAAGCGGCCTTTTGTCTATCAAATGCTTACAATACGATTAAATTCAATGGGTATTTAGTGATTAACAACACGGGAGAGCAAATGACAACCGATTATTAGTGAAGACTATTGAATACAGTTTATGGTAGCCAAACATGGAGCCGATAGTGAAAGAAGCTAGATTAAGCACGAGACTCGAACGTGTGTTGGTTATCAGCTTATGACACGATGGAAGTATTAGTCTTTATAAAATAATATCTGCATTAGCGGGTTATCTAATCAAAATAACGTTGTTAATGACGCAATTAAAACCGTTATATACATATTAATATAACGGTATTATAAGCTACTGCTTGCGTATCATAATATCACAACAATATTTGTTTATTTTCATGATACTAATCTTCTCCATACCATGTGAATTTCATTCTGTTACAGTCAGTTGAAAACTGACATCAATATAATATAGACATCGTAATAATTAATGGCTATTTGTATACTTTCTAAAAAAAGAGCTATAACCCTTTTAACAAAGGACTTTATTGATTAATTTAAATTGCATGCATAACTAAGAAATAATTTATGTAAATATTCCAACCAAGCATGTAGATGTCGCTTATTTAGCATTTAAATACCCTGTTTTATTTTGTGAAATATTGTATAAAAACCGATAAGAATGGCATGAGATATTGTTTTATGTTCAGATAAGCATTACTATAAATGTTATAGTGTTATGGAAATACGAATATTATAATATGAATTTATTTCCAAATATACGGGCATATCAGATACAGCAGACACATGGTAAAATATTCATATTTTATGTAAATAAGGAATGAAATAAATAAGTCACGCTAGTCTCGATCATTTTGTTAGGTATTCAAAAGAGTTAATCGATTTTTCTTCTTTTTTTCTTTTTTTTTGATATAGAGCTATGAAACGTATTTAGTTTGTTCGGCTATTCGTATCACGCGTATAAATTCATGATTCAATAGTATTTTGTACAAAAGCACTTCGTTAAAGGAGCTAAATCGCTAATATTTGGGACCAAGAAATGGACACAAATGGGTCGCAACGCATATAATAATTAATATGAATGTATATAAACTGATTTACATTCAATCGTTTTCGTTTTTACTCTAATTTCATATCAGTTGTGTTCGGTAAAATACGCCAGAAGTCTCAATCGAATAGCAATCTCTAGCGTCTGGTTATTCCAGTCTACACCGATAGTATTTATTGTGCATGCTCTCCAGATAAGAATATGGGTCACCGTTTGACATGACCTGTGAAATATGTCTAGCCTCGTTCTCCCAGTCCCTTGTTATAAATGGCACTGAAAAGCATTATGGTACACGATTCATATACCAATGGTAAAATGTTTATTTTGTCTTAAATATTGGATATCTGTTCCCGGTAAGATCACAACATCAGTGTTGATTTAAATTGACAAATAATTCGTGTTTTCAATGTCGAAGACCATGGATGATATTGACTTAGAGACTTAGCTACTTTAACAAAAACTACATGATTTGCTGAAACAAGGAGCTGGGTGATAACTCAATCAGCATTTCTATGGAAGTACAACAGAGATTGTTAGACATGTGAACTTCCCAAATAAATAAAATTGGTATCACTATGTTTTAAAATCAAAAACAAACCATACTTTATGATGCAATACATCCTAACATTGCTGGCGACGTTAAACTATAGTTAGACACTCTTACTAACTTTCTTATAAAATGCACTTTACCAAACAAATTACATGCATTACATTTGTGTATATCACCCACCCCGAGTCATAAACCCCAGCTCAATGTTAAATAAATTAATTTATGAAGACGAAAATATGTCCACTGGCTATGTAAATGTGTTTACGACGCCGTATATGTTTTTAGTAAGAAGCTTAAATGTGATTAATGTTCAATATTGTGTCAATGTTAAATCCCATTACGTTCGTTATAGGTGGATTAATTGCTGAAAGCTTTACCCAGCTTTATCAAAAATAATTGAAGAATTAAATCATGCATGAGAGGAAGGGGGGGGGGGTGATGTGGTAAGGGATGGGAGTGGTCAGACTGGCGTATGAATTGTGTTTGCACACAGCTGTTGTTTTTCACTTTGGAAGTTAGCCATGGTGACCCAAAGAGTAAGGCCGTGCCTGGTACGACCCCGATGTGGGCCAAGACAGTTCCTCGTGGTTTTCCCCTTCTCAGCGATGCTGTCAAAACTGAATCTAGTCGTTCGGATAAGACTAATAACAGTTGGAATTCGAAATAAAGAGTAGGCCGTAGCGCCACTGTCCGGGCAAGAATTTCTCTCATAGCACACCGCATGGCGTAGAGCCGTCTTCATTAGCCAAGTTGGTGCAGAAAACTAGAACGTTAAAATTAAACCCTATTTCACTTCATTTCATTCACGTATGAAAGAAACCTGAGAAACCTCCGCCAGGTTAGGCATGCGACGTCACTCCTTATTAGCACCACACGTACAGGGTCGAAATGAAATAAAATGAAATTGGGTTTAACGTCGTACGGTTCTGTTCCACCTGGGCGAATGAAGACGGACATATTATGCTATACAGTGTGCAATGAGGACAATTTTGCCCGGAGAGCGGCGCTACGGCCTACTCTTATATCGAATTCCAACTGCCAAGGGATCTTTTACGTGGACGCCAATGTGTACACGGGACCTCGGTTTTTTTGTACCACCCGAACGACCACTGACAAGGGGAAACCACGCCGGAAAATCCCGATGAACTTTCTCGGCCAACACCTGGTGTTATTTTTTACTCACAGGCATTTGGATATTTCAAACATCCAATAGTTTACGGCGCTTTTAAGTGAACTCAAGTAATATCTTAAAGCATATGCAGTATCTAATCATCCACTCTAAAATGTACTTAAATCAAGATCAAAATATCAGCGGTAGATAATCCCCCGTATGGTTTTATTCGGAATAAGAAGAGGTTGGCCACAAGATTTTATCGACGATTATAGGCGGCACTGGCTTGTTTTGACCATACTGCGTTTATTTGTGGCTTTATGCGCATGCCCGAGTGAATACGTTGGTTAGAGAGCTATATGCAAATGTAAAACCGATACAGATTGGACAACTCAACACTGACTCTATATAATAACGTAATGCCAGGTCAATGTGGCACTAACCCCAATTCTTTAAATGACCCAACGAAGAACAATATCCCCTCTCGTGGCGGGATAACGGCCAGATAATATTATGACCCTTGACAAACATGGACAATCGACTATCATACTTGCGGTTTGACTGGTCACGAATTCTTTCTTTTATATTTTATTATAATAATTTTTTTCCAGATCAGAAACCAAATAATAATATAATATTTCAAGTTTGAATTTAAGTTTTCAAATTGCATTAGACAGCCCAATTAACTACAAGAACCATGGCTTTAATAAGGTAAATTAATAGTCTACAAAAAATGACCCACTCTTTCTCCCGTCCCGTTTTTCAAAACGAAATAACCACCAACATAGGAACATAAATACGCATGTGTTGTGTGAGCAAATGAATTGACGAGATAGAGATGGGTAAATGGATTAAAGAATGGAAGAATGAATTAATAAAATATAAGCATGTTAAGCCTTTGACATTTTGAGATAATTAAAGAAAATGAGACGTTGGATATCAATAATTAAACTAACCTTTCTATAACTTTATTTGCTGTCTCAGAAAGAAAACAAGAATACAATATTGAAGGATTCTAGAAATATCCCTTTCGTCATCGAAACATGCCCACACTTGAGTATAGCGTAAATGAATTAAATGGACATTATATGCCAAACTTCGTGATTTAAATTGTCAAATATGCATCCTTGCATTAGCCCATGATTAATGTCATCCAAGTATTACCCCTTTTCATCCCCATACAACATTTACATGACACCATTTACCCCCAACAGTTAATAAAAATTACTTCGATTCCGATGGTAGTTTAGATGTTAGTCACATCGGCTAAAGCATATAAAGATTGTTAACTATGTCATGGCTATTTGAATTACCAAAACAGATGAGAAGTGGCAGCCGGCGTACACTACCTACCAAGTACACAACACCAGTCACTACCGACAGGTTATTTGATATTAAATTATTATATTCAGAAATCAAAACCATTACAACTTCATTGTGATTCATTTTATTTATTTGAAATCAAATACAGAAAATAAAAAACCCATAACTTACAAAAAGAACAAAAGCATTCCTGCATTACTTCTGACTATTGCCTTTTATTCCTTCATTCATTTCCTGAGAAGTCAAAAAGAAAACGCCACATATTTAATTTACATGCAGGGCTATTGATACAAAGTAGATTATGTCAACATACACTCGTAAAATTCTTCTACAATTTCCATAAGAATGAGTGAAACAAAGAAAGTTTTTACTTCATAATAATGTTTACCATACCTTGTAACGGAAAAGTCGTATCGTATGTATTTTCCCAAGAGTAGAGGACCAAGATATATGACTTAGTTCTTCATGTTGAAATTTAAATTTTACGTTAAAACAAATATTTCATTTAGTACAAAAAGGACAGTTGTTTTTAAAAAAAGTAAAGAAGCAGTAGTGCAATAATGATGATGGCAAGTAAAATCGTGCGCTTTTGGTGCTATTTGATAGATGCAAAGTGGCATATTTAGGTAAACATCACACTTGCAACACAATGCACGGCCATTCAAATCCTGTAACTGGTATGCAGAAATTCCAAAAGGATTCTTGCGCCCCACCTAAGAGTACCTCCCAGAAACCCTTATGTCACAGTGCTATAGATTCCTTAAAAAATGCCTTGAGGTGAAACCATAACCCTGTTTAGAAGGCGACAAAAAACAAAACAAAACATATCTATTCAGTCTCAAGAATAATACGTTCTGGGTGAGACCACTTCCTATTCATGGTGAATGTCAAAACAAGGACAAAGAATATTTTAGTACAATTTTTAAAACATGATAACTGATT